GATCCCTCAGCTGGATTGGCCTGAGAGTATAATGGGGTCATGGCTACATTCAGGCACCACTGATGCGGCCCCGGGTGCCCATTTGCCAGAGAAGCAGGATCTAGCTCCCCTTTGCAGGAGAACTTCCAGAGAAAAAGCTTTGACTACATTTTGTTGAAGGTGCCAGCCGGCAGAGGAGCTTAACCCAAGAGTAAACTTGGAGCTTTGGCTAGTTAATGGATGGATGGTGACCCCTCCATCCCCGGTGTGGCTGTGCAGCCAGAGCCTGCTCACTCTGGTGATGGCAGAGCCACAAGTTTGTCACAGTCCTTTAAGTCCAGGCAGCAATACCCAGAGAGAGGAATACCCATACCACCCTCCCACAGCACCAGTCTCCATTCTCATCCCAGCATCCGCCCCTCCTGGCACATGGGCAGGTGGGATGGCCATTCCCTTCCGGACAACCCATCCTCTATCCACCAAGAGTCACATCACATAAAAGCACAATGGTCTGATGTCATTACATTTGTCAAAATCTGGGGTTTTAGTTGAAAATAAGACCACAGGTGGCCATCACTAGCCCAGTTCCAGAGCCTGGCTCCTTGGGGTCTTTCCCCAGGGTCTTCTTGGCATTTGGAGAGGAGGGGAGGGGACCCTGACTCTTCTGTCACAGCAACACAGAAAAGCGCCAGGGAGGAGTGAGCGCTTGGTTCCTGTCTCCTATGTTCTGAGTGCTTTTCAACACCAGTATCCAGCTGGGCAGTGACCCCAGAGTCCTTCCTCCAGATGAGTGACTATGGAAGAAGCAGAAGACGGCACTGGAGGAGACGTAACATGTGATGGCAGGCACAAGAGAAGACGAGGGCCTGGGAGAGAAGAAAGTGAGCAGACAGGAGGGCACGGGCCATGTGCTCACGGAGAGCATCCAGGCGATGGACTTAGAACTCCATTACCACCCCCAGACCCAGACAAGAGGGCCCTGCTTTTGGGCTGCGTCCCTCTCATAGGGCCGCTTGGGGCCCACTCCCCTGCTTCAGCACCTGCTTCCAGGGCCCCCTCCTCTCACATGTGACTGTGACACTGATGTACACCAAGGAGTGGCCCAGGGATGCCTGTGTATGGGTGAGGGAGAATGAGCTTGGGCTGAGGACTGGGGTGTCCACATGCATGCCTGGGAGACCCTTCCCAGTGTGGGATGAAGTTGGAGGTGGGGAGAAAGGGAGGTGACCTGAAAGTTGGGGCTGGACGCTGGAGGCCAGCCCTCCCCTCACTGCCGCTCCTGATGCAAATCCCTAAGGAGCCTGAGAATCCTACATTGGAACCTGGCTTTCCAGATAGGAAGGCATGGTCAGCCCTCCATATCCACAGGTTCCCTTATCCGCAGATTCAACCAGTCCTGGATGGAAAGGCCCACAATGGTGGCATCTGTACTGAACATGTTGAGACTGTTTTTCTTGTCATTATTCCCTAAACAATACAGTCTAACAACTATTTTCATAGCATTTACATTGTATTAGGTATTATAAGTAATCTACAGAAGATTTAAAGTATACAGGAGGATGTGCCTAGGTTATATGCAAATACCAGACCATAGCATCCATGGTATGCAGATTTTGGTATCTGAGGGAGGTCCTGAAACCAATCCCCCTTGCCCCCTGGCCCCATGCTGAAGGACCACTGTATATCTTTAAGGTAGGAGGACCAAATGGACTCTCCATGATTTCTGTAAGCTTGATTTGTAACTCCTATATCTTTAGACATATGTGTACTCTTGCTCTGGCCCAATCAATATTAGGGACCTGCCTCAGACTCATGATGGAATCCTTTCACCCCTACTTGCCAACAAGGTGATGGCCACTCTGAGCCTTCGTTTTCTCATCTGCAGTGATACCTACCTTGGAGGGTTGTTGTGATGATTTTGTGAGTTCTGTACAAAAGCATCCAGCAATGAGCCTTAGTCACCTTAGTTACCCCCTCTCATGGTGTGGATGGTAGGCTGAGGTGCTGGTCAACAGGGAGTGCCCATCAGAAACTCCAATAAATCAATTTCTCCCCCATCGAATCCAGGTTACAGCAGTGTTCCTGAAGCCACACTGACACCTACTTTCTGGTTCCATCGAATACTTCGGACTCAAATTTCCACCCAAGGACTAGCATTCAAAAGGTAGCTACTTCAGCAAACCACCAAAGCTTCTAAAGTAGACAATTCTCTGGGCCAGCCCCGTGGTGTAGCGGTTAAGCGGGTGTGCTCCACTGCCGGCGGCCCAGGTTCGGATCCCGGGCGCGCACCGACGAACCGCTTGTCAGTCCATGCTGTGGCGGCGTCCCATAAAAAGTGGAGGAAGATGGGCACAGATGTTAGCCCAGGGCCAGTCTTCCTCAGCAAAAAGAGGAGGTTGGCATGGATATTAGCTCAGGGCTGATCTTCCTCACAAAAAACAAACAAACAAAAAAAAACCTTAAAAAAAATAACGTAGACAATTCTCTTTAAACTACTTAGTGGCTTGATTCCATAGGGACTGAGTGACCTGAGCTGAAGAAAGGCTCTTTCTGGAACTATAGGCCCCCCCACTTGCCTGGCCCCCTGCACTAGACTCAGCATCAGCAGATGCTTAAAGGGAGCATTTACTTGGAGTCAATAATTAAATTGAGCAACGGCAACAGACAGCCTACATTAGGGTGTGGAATACTCAGAAGAGGGCAGCCGGGTCATCTCAGGCTCAAAGTCTGACAGGGGAGCACGGGTGAGGCTGTGGCCTCCTCACCTGCCTCCCTGGGAGTATCCTAAGGAGAGATGTGGGGACCTACAAGAAGGCAGAGAAGCAGCACTGCAGGGGGAGTGGGAGGGGACAGGGGCAGGGATCCAAAGGTTAAAGTTAATCCCTAAAATTGGAAACATTTGAAAAACTCCAAAAGAAATTTTCTAAAAAAGTTCTCTACCTCTTTCCTACCACACACACACATTAGGATTTTCCCAAAGTTTTAATATATCTAAAAAGAAACTGCTGGTGCAAATTATAGAACACGGTTGCTTCCTCATTGTGCAGCATTTCCCCTTGGCCTGGGAGGGGAAGTGGTCCGAGGTTTCCAGGGTCTCCTTACCTAAAGTGTTCGAGAGGCAACTTGTGCAAAAGTCTTTGGCAGATGCACTTTCAGATAGAAGGGGCTGCAGAATCAGGTCCCCAAGGATAATCCTTTCAGTTTACAGATGAGTCAACTGAAGCCAGAGAAGTGAAGGGAGTTCACACAGAGCTAAGTGGAAACAGACCTGGAATTGAAATCCCAGTTACCCTGACTCACTATGCAGTGGTCATTCCTTTCCCCCACACTCCCACAAGACCAGCCTGGGAGAGGGACTATTGTCCCTAAGGATCTAATTCACGCCCAGAAGCAAGCTCGGTTTACACCTGGCATGCATTACGTATTTGCTGCAAGAGTACAGGAGTGGGTGAGCCTAGCCAGCTGGCGTTGCCCATAGGAGTGGATTGGAGAGAGTTCTAGGTGTATGTGTGTGTGTGGGGGGGTTGTGGGGGGAACATGCCTGTGGGAAGGCTGGCAGCAGCAGGGCCCAGGCTGTGCGGGGCAAACAGTCCCTGGAGGGGGAGTGAGGGCAACTGAGCAGGGAGGGTAGGGGGCCCAGAACCTAGAAGGTCCCTAACGGCTAACAAGTGAGGACTTTGTTTACCTGCTGAAGGGGCTGAGCGACCAGCTTCCCAGGAGGAGCTGGGAAATGGGAGGGCTGGAGTTCAAAGAGAGGTCAGAGCTGCAGAGAGACATTTGGGAACCATTTTATAAAAGAAATATGGAGCCGTGCTTTGCATAACAGAATTGTCTCCAGGTCCCCAGGGAGGGCTTAGTTCATTCGCAGGGAATCCCTCTGTCTTCCGTGGCAGGTGGCCCCTGCCTCTGAGGAGAGAGAAGAGGAGCTCTGTATGATTAAACTTTCCTTCTAGTCCCCTCACTCCTTCTCCAGCATTGCACTTACCCGAACAAAGAACATCCACATACACACCTCCCTCTGAACTGCAAAAGGGAGTCCCCTGGACCCAGGAGTAGGGAAGGCGAGAGGCGTACAGCCCAGCCCTCTGCGCCCTCCCGGGGCCAAAGCTCTTTTCGTCGCTGGCTCCGGCGGAGAAGCCGCGTAGAGACTGTGTAGGGGAGTGTTCATTTTCAGATCCAGCTATGCATGTATTCACTTTAACTGAACCCCATTACAAACGGTTCGGAGTCGTCAGAATGAAATGGCACCTGTACTTCGAGACGGGAGAGGCGGGAAGGCGAGGACATAGAACGTAAGCCCCGGGTTAAGGGGAGGGACGGGAGTCAGGTCACCCTGAAAAACTCCACGTTTGTGTCCCGAAGCCCTCTACCCGCTAAATTTGAATCTGCCGCGCGGGCGGGGACCGTGCGGTCCCGGAACCCACCCAGGGTGGCTCCATGTGGGATCCCGCCCGCCCACGTCGGCTCAGCCTGAGCGGTCTACCACCACAGCCCCTCGATGCCCAGAGCCCGAGGGGTCTCCAGTCGCCCTTTCCTGCCTGGCTCACCGGCCAGGGCTCCATCGGCTGTGTCTGTTCTCCCTTCTGGGACCTTCCGCGGTGCTAGGTGCCCCTGAGGGGGATGGCCCAGGGGTGGGCGAGCCGAGCGGGGACGCTGGCGGCAGGGCAGCCTAGGGAGGGAGGCGGGGGGAGAAGGAAAGAGAGCCGGGAGCCGGAGGGAGGTGCACGGACGGCGGGGGAGGAGGGGGCGCGGGCGGGGAGGGAGGAAGGTCGGGGGGCGAAGCGCCGAGAGCGGGGAGCCGGAGGGAGGTGCACGGACGGCGGGGGAGGAGGGGGCGCGGGCGGGGAGGGAGGAAGGTCGGGGGGCGAAGCGCCGAGAGCGGGGAGCCGGAGGGAGGTGCACGGACGGCAGGGCGCAGGGGGCGCGGCCCGGGAGGGCGAGGCCCACCGCCATTGGTCCGGGCCCCGGGGGCGGGGAGACAGCGGTGGAGCGCGGGCGGGGGCCGTGTCCCGGAGCGCACCGCCCGCCCGCAGTCGCCGCCGCCGTCCGGAGAGAGAGTGCCGTGAGCGCAGAGCCGGCGCCCGCCATGAGGGAGATCGTGCACATCCAGGCGGGCCAGTGCGGGAACCAGATTGGCACCAAGGTGGGCCGGGTGCGGGGGCCGGGAGGGCGCCGGACTTCCCTGCGGGTGGGCAGCTTGCAGGCCTGGGGGGTCGGAGCTCGGCCCTCGGTGCGTGCGGACGGCGCGGCCGCTCGGGCGCTCCGGCTCAATGCCCCTCGGTTCTCAGAGCGCAGTCTGCCCCGCGCCGCACCCGGGAAGTGCCCGAGGAGCGGCGGCCGAAGACGGGGCGTCTCAGCCCGGACCCCTGCCCCTCAGCCCCTCCCCACCCCAGCTGGGAGCGGCCGCCCGCGGCTCAGGCGCGCCTGGAATTCGGCCGCCGCGGCCCCGCGCCCCCGCCCGCCGGGCCGGCCCTGGGGGGAGGCGCGGGCGCGGCGCCCTGGGCCCCGGGCTCTGACCGCCCGTTCCCCGCCTCGCCCTTCTGAAGTTCTGGGAAGTGATTAGCGATGAACACGGTATCGATCCGGCCGGAGGCTACGTGGGTGACTCGGCGCTGCAACTGGAGAGAATCAACGTCTACTACAATGAGTCATCGTGTGAGTAGCGCGGTCGGCTCCCGCCCTTCCCGCCAGACCCCGGCCATCCCCCTCTCGCACCCCTGCCATCTCCTCCCGGACCCCGACCGTGCCCCTCCCGGACCCCGGCCACCCCCCTCTCGGAGCCCGGCTGTCCCCCTCCCGGAATCCGACCATCCCCTCCCAGACCCGGGCCAACCTCCTCCCGGACCCCGGTCATCCCCCTCTCCCACCCTGGTCAACCCCGCCTGGTCAACCCCGGGCATCCCTCTCTGGGACCCCAGCCTTCTCCCGGTCTTCCCCGCCCAGACCGGCCTTGGGCTCGGGGTGCCGCCCCCACGCAAGGACAGCTGGCTCTGGGAAAAGTTCTCCCAGGACTTAGCAGGATGCCGGGCTCCTCCCTCGCTCCCCCGGGGGCGGGAAATCCGCCGTCAGTTTATTTCAAATCTCGGCTTTGAGCCTGTCCCGCGGGTCTGAGCTCTTGAACCAGACAAGCCGTTGGTGTTGTGAAATCAACTTAGTGGGTCATGTCTGACCTTGTTTTCTCTTCCCCCGTTTAAAATGTATTTTTAATGGAGGTTCTTGGCAAAAAAATTTGAAAAACACTCCCTTAAATAACTTTTCTGGCCCTTTGCAGACCTCCAAAAAGACTTTATACTTCCTGGAAGCTGAAACTACAAATTCTGGGTAACTGGTGGAGTTTAGTAAAAATTCCAGGCTGTGATTTACCCGAGTTTGAGAATAGTATCACCCCTGACCTGGATATCTACATATATATTGTGGCTACATGTATACATTATTTCTGTAACAATTTTTATTATAAAAGTGATACATACCCTTCAGAAAACAACAAAAAACAAATTCATTGAAAGAACACCCAGAAAATGACAGATGCTACCCTTCCACACACGGGATGTATATCCCCAGAGATAATCACTCTCCGTTTTTTGGAGTCATTTGCTGCTTGTCCACACAAGAGCTGGGAAGAGCAGGATACATAAATCACTGGGTTTTATTCATTAGGCAGCTATGACAAAAGGTCTGGAACAGCAGGACACAGAAGATGAAATTTCTAGATAGCACTAAGGAAACTTTGAGTATATGTTGCACTTGCTGTTACCCCTTAGGTCCAGCGTGGTTACATCCTTTTTTCAACCTGGGTGTGTGCATAGTAGGACAGGAGTTGTAGAGCGGTTCCTATGTGCAATCATATTAGCCCCATCCTCACTGGGAACAATTTCTTGCCCAATTGGCATGAAAGTGTGCTTGCAAGTGAAAATGCTACACAGCAACCCTCATTCATAAATGAGAGTTTCTCCTGGGAAACTGCCCATGGAATGGTACCTGTGACGAGGTGCTCAGACTGTAGCTTGAGTTCCTGTATGTGTGTGCATGGGAGAGGTGCCAAAAAGCAGAAAGAATGTCACAGCAACACTGTAGTTTGCCGCAACAAATACAGTTTATTTCCATGGAGCTAAAAAAGTAAAACTTCCCAGCAGAAAAGAGCTATCAGGAGTGAACTGGAAAATACAGTGGGCAGGAAGTCAGGAGACCTGATTTCTCATCCTCTTTAATCCTGGCATTTCCTCTGCCCTTCATACCTGGGCTGGTTTCCCCATCTGAACAATTCCAGGGTGGGATTGTGTTCTCCGAGGCCCCTCCCAGTGCTAAGATTCTGTGGTTCTAAGAAAGCCAGGTACCCTCTCTGAAGAAGCCCTGCTTTATACGTTACAGGCAGCTGTGCTGGTGGGACTTGCTAAGGGGAAGTCCATCACTCTAGAAACCAGTAAGTGACACATGGGGGTGGCTTTGTTCTCTTGCAGCTCAGAAATATGTGCCAAGGGCTGCCTTGGTGGACTTGGAGCCCGGCACCATGGACAGTGTGCGGTCCGGCCCTTTCGGGCAGCTCTTCCGGCCTGACAACTTCATCTTCGGTACGTTCCATCTCTCCTGCTTTCTTCTTCCTCTTCTTTTTTTAAAAACATCAAACTAATTTATGTGTAAGATTAAAAACATCCATGGCATAGAAAAGCTTAGAATGGAAATCAGCATTCCCCAGCCTCATCACAGGGTGCCTCTTTTTTTTTTTAATTGATGTCATAATAGTTTATAACATTGTGAACTTTTAGTTGTACATTATTGTTTGTCAGTCACCATATAAATGTGTCCCTTCACCTCTTGTGCCTACCCCCTAACCGTCTTCCCCCGGTAACCACCAAACTGTTCTCTCTGTCCATGTGTTAGTTTATCTTCCACATATGAGTGAAATCATGCAGTGTTTGTCTTTCTCTGTCTGGCTTAGTTCGTTTAAAATAATAACAGGGCACCTCTTTTAAGTCTTGACTTTTTCTTTAGGAAAGTAACCTCTGTATCTCTAAATGAAATGCTTATACTGATAGTTCTTTTTTTTTTTTTAAATAATTTTATTTATTTATTTTTTTCCCCCAAAGCCCCAGTAGGTAGTTGTATGTCGTAGTTGCACATCCTTCTAGTTGCTGTATGTGGGACGCGGCCTCAGCATGGCCGGAGAAGCGGTGCGTCGGTGCGCGCCCGGGATCCAAACCCGGGCCACCAGCAGCGCAACGCACACTTAACCACTGAGCCACGGGGCCGGCCCCTATACTGATAGTTCTTGATTGAAAAAAATTTTTTAGATATTAAGTTCTTTCTCTCCCTCATAAATTATCATAATAGGATAATAATAATTTGGTTTTGGTTCCTATATTACTCATCTTTTAACTTCAATGTGTTTATACCTATATTTCTTTTCCACTATTTATAGATAGTTGTTGTTCTTTCTTTCTAAAGGCTGGCGCCATATGAGTTTTGTTTCATCAGAATTGGACAAATCCTCCCCTCCCTTCTTCCACCTAAAAAAATGATAATAGCACCTGTCCCTCTGCAAACTCCCAAAGAAAATTATATAAAATTAAATGAAGTGGCACCATTAGTGTTACCAGCCTCCATCACCCTGTAGCTAAGGTTTTTAGAGTCGAGGTTACTTCAAAGTATGCAAGAGGAGACAGAATCTTGGAAGATTTTATTAGTACATGAATTGATTACCTTGTAGCAGACTCAGGCAATGACTTGTTATAAAGGGGACTCAGCATGATGAGCATTCATAAAGAGTTTAAGTGCTCTGGGTATCATCCCCTTCCCCATTACTCTGACAACCTATGCAACCAATGGGACAGGCAAGGCAAGATAATGACTTGTTCAAGGGTTTGTCACTTTTGATATTTCAAATAGACCAGGACTAGGCTCTCTGGTGCCCCTTTTCTTGCATCAGAAAACCTAAATTACCAATATTTTTATAGGCCACAAATGGGGATATTTACATTTTTTACCTTTTGCTGAACTAGACCTTTCTTGCTGGAGACCATAATTGGCCGCAAGTAAAGACACCTCTAGACCCTGCTGCCCAATGTGGTAGCCACTAGCCACATGTGGCTATTAAATTTAATTAAAATTAAATAAAATTAATTCACTTCCTCAGTTGTACTAGCCACCTTTCAAGTGCTCAATAGCAAAATGTGCAGCGGACAGTATAAGTAGCAACAGCTCCATCACTGCAGAAAGTTCTGTTGGACACCAGTACTCAAGGCCTTCATAGAGATATCCTACCAAATTAGGGGAATGAAGAGAAAAAATGAAAAGCCACTATGCAAACACTTATCCATTCACAGCCATTTCTATCTTAAGAGCCAAGGTAGAGCTTACAGGATGGGTGGCAGATTTGAGTTTTCCATCTGACAATTGTGTGTTAATATGAGATACCACATATACCTTTGTTATTTCTCAAAAATTACCAATGTAACTATTAAGAAATGTGCCTAGAGGGAAAAAAATATTACTTATCAACAGGGATACCTCAATTAATCAACAAAACACAATTTTAGTACCTGTAAAGGGCAAAGTGTCTTACAAGGAAATCAGAGAATCTTAAGGCTGATTCCTGGCTTAAAGGCGCTATGGTATAGAAATTGAATATATCAAAAATTTACATCCCAGCCCCCTCCTCAAAAGGCACCAGGTAGAGATGGTTTCATTGAGGGTAACAGGAAATTCTCTGTTATTTAAACCATAAGTATTTAGAATACCTCATATACAGTAAGTGCTTGATAAATATTAGCAACAACATCCTAGGAACGCAAGGATGGTTCAACGTTAAGAAGTCAGCTAATTAAGAGAAACATCTTGGGCTGGCCCTGTGGCTTAGCGGTTGAGTACGTGCGCTCCGCTATTGGCGGCCTGGGTTTGGATCCTGGGCGCGCACCGAGGCACCGCTTCTCCGGCCATGCTGAGGCCGCGTCCCACATACAGCAACTAGAAGGATGTGCAGCTATGACATACACCTATCTACTGGGGCTTTGGGGAGAAAAAGGGGAAAAAAGGAGGAGGATTGGCAATAGATGTTAGCTCAGGGCCAGTCTTCCTCAGCAAAAAGAGGAGGATTGGCATAGATGTTAGCTCAGGGCTGATCTTCCTCACAAAAAAAAAAAGAGAGAGAGACATCTTAATAGATGCCCCAAAATATTTGATAAAATTTAGTATGTGTTCCTGATTTGTAGAGGACAAAAAAACTTCTGTGTAAGCTGGAAGTACAAAGAAACTTCCTTTATTTAAGAATTATCTACCAAATCCAGGGGGTGGCCCGGTGGCATAGTGGTTAATTTCACACTCTCTGCTTTGGCAGCCTGGGGTTTGTGGGTTCGGATCACGGATGCAGACCTATGCACTGCTCATCAAGCCATGCTGTGGTGGTGTCCCTCATATAAAATAGAAGAAGACTGGCACAGATGTTAGCTCAGGGACAATCTTCCTCAAGCAAAAAGAGGAAGATTGGCAACAGATGTTAGCTCAGGACCAATCTTCCTCACCGAAAAAAAAACAAAACAGAATTATCTACCAAATCCATAGCAACATCATACTCACTGGTGAAACATTAGAAATATTCCCAGCAAAGTCAGGTATAAGAACAAGACGTCCATTGTCTCTTCTATTATTCCATGTTCTGAAGGCTCTAGCCAGTGCACAACGACCAGAGAAAGGAAAGAACTACAAATCATTTAAAGGAAAAGACAAAATCGTTTTTTGCAGATGGATTTTCCAGATAGGCTGTCAGCTGAACAATGACGAGCACTTATAAGACCTCAGTAAGGCAGCCAGAAACAAGATAAAAATACTCAGACGTTATTGCTCTAGGGTCACCGACTGTCCAAATTTGCCTGGGACTGGGGAGTTTCCCAGGACACTGCACTTTTCAGTATTGAAACTGGTAAAGTCCCAGGCAAGCTGGATCACCTTAAAGGCTATAATCAATTATAAAATATAATGGGAAAATATTCTGTTCACAATAGCAATAAAATTATAAATACCTAGGGACAGAACTTACCAGTAATTGGGAATGGGGGAGTCAAAACAAGATAATATTTTTCTCTCATCAGATTGGCCAGTATTTTAAAAACTGCTAACAGCTAGTGTTGGTGAAGGTGTTTGGGGAAATAATAGTTTTAAACATTGTTCAGAGAACAACTTAATAGATTCAGCAAATCAAGAATTTTGTTGCTACAGTTTCAGTTCAAGGAATCTGTCCCTCGGAAATCCTGCACATGCACTGCGGATACTGCATGTTGGTCTTTAGAAGAGCTCAGCCCCTTTGCACACCCTCCAGTGGTGTCCGGGAACTATCCATCCCCTTGCCCTTACCAGCAGCTGGTGTCAGTCTTTGTCATTTCCGTGGACTGCTCTCTCTCAGTACTCTGTAATAAAGACCGAATGTGGATAACGTTAAAATTCTGTACACTGAGGAGAGAAAAAGGATGACTTCCCCCCGCTTTCTTTGTACAGATCAGCACTTTTTCTTACTAAGTGGGTGTAGACTCTTAGCAGCTGTATACTGTTTCTGGACCACCTCGCTGGGTTGCTGAGTCAGTGTAGCCAAGAAGAGAGAGCACTGAATCCGGAGAAGGGAAACTTGGCAGCTCATTTCAGCTCTGCCACCTTTGGTGTATCAGTTCCCGTCTCTGGGCTTCTTCAACTTCACAGTCTGTGGAATGAAGGGCCCCTAAGCATCCTGGGGGCCCCGGCCCCTGTAAGAATCTGAGGGAAGCAAAGGCCATGTCTCCCCCACCTCCATAAAAATATGCTTCCACGTAGAATTCTGCTCACAGTTTCTTCTCTTGAAGGTTTGATGGATTTCGGGTAAGAATCTGAGACAATAGCTAAGGTTTCTTGAACCTGAATTAGTTGGCTGAATCTACCTAGGTCTCAGTCAACTTTACCAAATAAAATTAATGTACTTCATTATTAAGAAAACTATACTTCTCTTTTGATAGGCAGTACATATACGTACATGGTACGAAATTCAAAAAGTACTGAAGGTTATACAGTGGAAAGCTAGTCCCTGCCTTCTCGGTCCACCCAGCTCCCCTGCCAGGAGGCCAGCCAAGTCCTGCTGCTGACTTGGTGCGTGTCCTTCCTGAGGCACGTGTACGTTACAAGCAAATATGTGAGTTTGTATCTATAAAAACATCTTCAAGTTTTATTTGTGTAAAATACATATCTTCCCTGCTTCTAAGAAGGATATGAAACAACATATAGTACATACAGCCATAAAACATGGCAGCTTAGATCACAAAGTTAACTGAGAGCATGAATTCAGTTGTGGCTGAGAATTACTTTAAGCTCTGGGTTTCTGGCAACTAAATTCAGAAAAGGAAGCACAATAAGGGACATGGTTGTCATCATCTCATAAAAGGGATATACCACTCTTAAGAAGGGAGATTCTGGGCCAGCCCCGTGGCTTAACGGTTAAGTGCGCACGCTCCACTACTGGCGGCCCGGGTTCAGATCCCAGGCGCACACCGATGCACCGCTTCTCCGGCCATGCTGAGGCTGCGTCCCACATACAGCAACTAGAAGGATGTGCAAC